AACACTATGTGACAGATGTTGTGTGTACCTGACATGTCCAGGTCATATTTCACCCCAAAATCAAGAGGAAGAAAGAAGACATTTCCTGTTTTTAGGTCCATAAAGATTTATGTCATTGTGACATTGTTTTAATGAATTCCTCAGTTCTAATTACCATTGTTCAAAAAATACATTTTAGTTTCAAAATGTGAAAAAAAAGTATATTATTAATTTTTATACACTACGGTTGAAAATTTGGGGTTGGTAAGATTTTTTCCGATGCTCATCAAGGCTGCATTTATTTGATTAAAAAAAAAAAAAAAACAGTAAAGAAAAAGTCATATTGTGAAATATTATTACAATGTAAAACAACTGTTTTCTATGTGAATATATTGTAAAATGTAATTGATTCCTGTGATGCGCAGCTGAATTTTCAGCATCATTACTCCAGTCTTCAGTGTCACATGATCTTCAGAAATCATTCTAATATGCAGATTTGCTGCTCAAAAAACATTTCTGATTATTATCAAAGTTTTTGAAAAACTTTTTTTCAGGATTCTTTGATCAATACACATTGAACAGCATTTATTTGAAATAGAAACCTTTTGCAACATGATAAATGTCTTTAATCTCACTTTTGATCAATTTAATGCATCCTTGCTTCATTTAATTTATATTCATTAAATAATACCTTACAGACCCTAAATTTGTGAACGGGGGTGTACGTCATGGTAGTTCTGCTGATTATTAATTAATTGTACTAAATGTGTATTTAAAAAGAAAAACATGTTTATTACTAATAACATAAAAATGTTCATGAAAATAATGTCAGAGTGCCAAAAATCTTAATAGTAGGGACGTGAACTGTCGATTCATACATGCAGTCGTGTCCGTACAGTACTGGCCAAGTAATTAAACTCTGATTGAGTTTGAGGCTGTGAAATTGTCACCGATTCTTCATATATTACATTCAACAGGTGTACAAAACATCAAAACTGGCCTGATATTTTGGAAGGCAATGTCATAAATGACCTGCCTATGGAAATCCAAAGGAAAAATACCCAGATTTCACCTTAACTATTAGGTGCTTGCTTCTTTCACAGGACTGTCCTGAAGAGTTACATTTAGATTTACATTTTTATTTTTGATGTTGTGTGAAATGTGATCAATCATGTAATACACCGTTATCAGTAACAGAAGATGAACGTCAGATTTATAGCAGTACTATAGGATGCTTGTTTGAGTCTGATCATTTGGCCGTGACTGTACTGTGAGGGTTTTAAAATGCACACAATTCTCTTCTGCTTCTAATCCACGTGTCCATTTAGAGGAAAAGCTGAAATATTGAAACTATGAATCCTCTGCCGGACTTTTTCCGAGTAACACAATGAGGTGCTGAACTAGGAAATTCACTAATAGACAGGGCTAATAGGATGTGTAAAGGCTTCGCTGTTTACTTCAGATATGTCCTCGTGCTATTTTTCCGAACAGCAGGCCGTCAAAAGGAAAGCAAGAGCTGTTGTTGTTACTGCTTCCTCGAAGACTTTTAGCGAAGGCTGTTTTGTAGAAGATTGCGTTTTCTTTTTTTCTGTTGTGAGTGTGTGAACGGCGTGTTTAAAGAAGGGCTTAAAGATGTGCGCTTAAGTAAAACCCAGCATCACGCGAGGAAATCAAACTCTTTACTAGCTCAAGGTTTATAAACGATGGAGAAAAAGACTTGGTTTTGTACTGGAGTGATTTGTTTGATCGGTTTAGTGTTGGTACTGTATATCTGGTTATTCATGAGCTTCATTTTAATATGAGATTTGTTCTTCCTGTGTAGAAATGTAGTCGTTGTTAAAAGCTTCAGATCATTTTTAGGTTCCTTATTTAAATTTAGCATTAAGCTGAAATAATACCTCTAATCTCTGTACAGCTCTGGCAATGCATCTCAATGCCTTATTGTATCTACCGCATTTAATTCGTCAAACACTACAACTATTTTAAAATGATAAGTCGATGAACCAGTAAAAAAAGGAAATAAAAATAATAATGGGATGTATTTATATTTATATTTTTATATTTCTTAAAAGTATGCATGTCTATAAACAGAGCAAAACAAATTGTTGATGCTTACCATGATCATGGATATTATGTTATTATTTTGTAGATGATGTAGATCATGTTATCATTTTGTAATTTGGACTATTAAAAGGAAATGGAGTAATCATATCTTGGGTCACGTGACTTGTGTGTTTGTACAGTTCCGTGCACAGATCTGACCTTGACCTCCAGTTCCACCCAATCATATTTGTCCGTCTAAAATAATAATCCATATGGGTCTAAACGGGGTCAGAGGGAAAGCAGGAAAACAAGACCAAACCCGCCAAAGTGTATGAAAACGGCGCTGTTTTCTCAACAGCACGGTGCGTTTTGATCTTCCTGAAGATGCATCTCTGTCTCTCTCTGTGATGTAATTTATCCTGAGCGCATCAATAATTCATGCGGCTTTGATGTGATCAAACGTGGAAGCTGGAATGTTGCCAGTTCGGATCTCAGGAGTCAATATTTGTGCCCTATCACTCGTCTCTCATTATACGTGTAAATTCAGAGGCATTACAATACATCCTTGCAGCGTTTCAACACATGTTCAACCAAGTGATACATGTAACGAATCACTGTAATAAGGCTGATATCCTGATATCCTTCACTTTATGATATTAATTTAGCCCGGACTACTTGCTGTATTCTGCGTTCAAATCTTACATGGATTTATATTGAATATTAAGCTTTGAAAATTATGATTTTTTTTTAATGTAAGCATACTGAATTGCAGTTGGTCGTCTTGGTTACATGTATTTGCATACTAAACTGTGACTGGTCTTGTTTTGCTTGCATACATGTAAACATCTATAGCCATTTCTTTCCAGTTGCTTTTTTTAGGTGTAAAAATGTTAAATTTGCTGTAATTTCTGTTTTGTTATTCGTAGGAAAAAGTATTTAAATTCATATGGTATTTTGGTGTAGAATTGCATTTTCTTTTCTTTTTTAAAGACAAAGGCTGTTCATAGTCTTGTCATCACATTAAACACTTTATAGTGTTATTTTTTTCCATTAAAGTTTGTGTTTGGACAGTATAATTTATTATTATATGCATTCGGATTTAGCAGCCTTTTTCAATTACTTCACGACTGTTGAAATGTTAAATTTGCCATACTTTATCTATTTTAGACTTTTTCACACGAACGTCGAAAATAAACTCATTTGGCATTTAATGTAAAATTGAATTATTTTTTTGCTGTCTCCACTACTGATGCCATTACCATGACATCCAGCTTATTAAAGAAAAATTGAGTTTTCCATAAAGGTTTGTATTTGAACAATCCGAATCAGTATTTGAAAAGTTTAATTTAGAAACAATCATTTCATACCTTTTCCCAATTGTTTAAAAAATGAAGAGTATTGAAATGTGAAATTTGCCATAATTGCTTTTAAAGGTGACATATCATGAAAATCTGACTTTTCCAGGTTGTAAGTGCTATAATCAGGTCCCCGGTGCATCTACCAACCAAGGAAACGTGAAAAAGATGAACCCAGTAACTTTGTTTTGGGAAGCCTTTTTCTGCAAGCGTCTGAGAAAACGAGCGCATCTGATTTCGCTCCCTTGGTGACGAGGCAAAGGGATCTCATTATAATATTACTGCCTCTTAATCTGTAAGTTTCCACCCACGGCACCGTCATTTGACTTCGCAAGCGACAACAGTGTAACATACAGTACAGTTCACACTTAAGTATATTATTTTAAATTATATTATTTCCGTAAAAAGTACTTCTTTTCACAAGTGTGACTTTATATCTTACACAAAATTAGATATTTTTTTTTGTCCATTCAGTGAAACCCAGTGAAAACACATTTTTCTTCTTTTGTGTTCCTTAGGAAAGAAAAAGAAAATAGAACTGCTTTTAAGACAATGCAGAAAAGCTGAGTGGATGTGGCAGAAGGCGAAACTTGAAATTCACTATAGCATATATAAAGACAGCCTTCGTACTTTCAATGTGGAACTAGGCAAAGCTAGACAGTCATTCTTCTCAAACCTTATAAACAGTAACTTAAACAACACTCGCACTCTTTTTGCTACTGTTGAGAGACTGACAAACCCCCCAAATCAGATTGCCAGTGAAATGCTCTCCGACAGCAAATGCAATGAGTTTGCTTCCTTCTTTTCTGAGAAGATCAATAATATCAGGAAGGCGATCAGCACATCCCCAAGTTATGCAGAGGTCAGACAGATTCGACCGCAATATCAAAAAGAAGATACTATGTCTACTTTTGAAGAAATTGATTGCAAAATTTTGGAAGAAATAGTACAGCACCTTAAATCGTCAACCTGCTATCTTGACTCACTTCCCACATATTTTTTCTAAATAATTGCACTATATTTTATGTATAATCATTTTCTATTCTTAACTGTTTTAAATTCATTTTAAACTTCTAAAATCTATTTTTATATAATTTTAAAAGTTTTTAAATTCCTTGTTTTATTGTTGTGATTTATTTTTATTTTTATTATTTTCTTTTCTTTTATGTAAAGCACTTTGAATTACCATTGTGTATGAAATGTGCTATACAAATAAACTTGCCTTGCCTTTTAAACTTCTTATAATAAAAGATCTGTAAGGGCTGAACATGTTCTGTTAGATTAAGTTACGTGTGTCTTATTGCTCTTCCCCGTCACCCTCTCAGAGCCTCATGTATAGCCTCAGATCCACAGCCGCCTCTCAATATAGCTCCCGAATTTAGATGAGATTTAACACTTGATATAATATCCACCCTGTCCAGCCTCCAGTATATGGAATAACACAGTTTAGCTTGGTACTGAGCCAGGTGAGAGGATGTGTGTTCACCACTGCTGAGTGTACAGCAGACGTGTGGATCAGTTACATGCTACAAATCCAACATTACACTTCCTTAAAGGTGAAGTGTGCTATCGATCTATATATCGAATTAAGTGTTCAAAAAGAAGTCAACCTTGAAGTAGAAAATGAAAGTATATGACCCCTTTATTCTCAACACAGTGTGAAGTGGTGTGTTTTATAATCAATCGCACTCATTCTTTTTCTTCTTTCTCATTTTCCCTTCTTTCATCAAGTTGTATGACTTATTCTCTCTCTTTGTCTTTTTCTCTCTCTTTCTCACTGTTAAGTACAAGCAGCAGCACACGCTTCTTCACAAAGTGAATGGAGCTGTTATGCTGATCACTTTCTTCCTCTGTCGAGTCCTTCTCTTCCCCTATCTCTACTACGTTTACGGAAGGTATGTCTCTCTTAAAGCGTTTGAAGGAATAGTTCAAGCAAAAAAAAAAGAGAATTCTGTCATTATTTACTCACCCTCATGAATTTCAAAACCCATCTACTGTTATTTTTTGTTCGACAGAAGACAAAAGTAGAAAGTAAGACACTTTGTTTTATACTGAAAAATAACAGTATTCGGGTCTTGGATCAACATGTGTGAGTAAATAATTACAGAATTAACATTTTCTGCCAGAATTATTCTTTAATTATTCCTTAAACTCTTCCTTTTCCTATCTGTCTGTCTACCTACCTACCTTCATTCTTTCATGTTTTGTTATGTTGCTGTCTTATGTTTAGCTGCTTTAAATTTGTTTTTTTCCACAACAATCTACACTCCATACACCATAATTGTCAAGTATAAAAACAGGTTTTTAACATCTTTGCAAATTTATTAAAAATAAAAAACTAAAATGATTCCATTGCATACAGCATCTGGGACAGTTGAAATTTAGCTCAGGAGCATTCATTTTGCTTGTAGATATTACTACACTTCAAGCGAAGTTAACCTGTCAAATTCAATTGAATGGGTATGATTTGGAAAGGCACACACGTCTTAATAAAAGATCTAACAGCTGATAATGCATATCGGAGCAAAAACCAAGCCCTGAGGTCAAAAGAACTGCCTGTAGAGCTCAGAAACAGGTTTGCGTCCAGCCACACATCTGTGGAAGAGTTCAGAAAAAAATTCTGCTTCACTGAAGGGTCACAGAAGCATGTAGTCTCTGTTACCCTTAATGGAAGAAGTTTAAAACAACCAGGACTCTTCCTAGAGCTGGCCTCCCGGCCAAACTGAGCAACTGATGGAGAAGGGCTTTGGTTAGCATGGTGACCAAGAAGCTGATGGTCACTCTAGTTGAGCTCCATGATCATATGTGGAGACAGGAGAAATCTACAGAAGGACAAACATCGCTGCAACACTCCACCAATCCTGTCTTTATGGCGGTGTGGCCAAACTCAGTCCTCTCTTCAGTTAAGACACATGAAAGCACACTTGGAATTGACAAAAAAGCACCTAAAGGACCCTCAGAATCTGAGAAACAAGATTCTCTGGTCTGATGAACCTCAATTCTAAGCATCATGTTTGAAGGAAACCAGCTCCGCTCATCACCTGCAGAGTAGCATCCCAAAAGTAAAGTGTGCTGGTAGCAGCCTCATGCTGTGGGGCTGTTTTTCAGCAGCAGGGACTGAGGGACTCGTCAGAGTAGAAGAAACACGCTCAGTGCAGCAAAATATAGAGATAGCCTTAATGAAAACCCAGTCCAGAGCACTCAGAACCTCAGACTGGGCAGAAGGTTCACCTTCCAACAGGACAATGACCCTAAGCACACAGCAAGAGTGGCTTATAGACAACTGTGTGAATGTCCTTCAGTGGCCCAGCCACAGCCTGAGCTTGAACCCGGTCAAATATTTCTGGAGAAACCTGAAAATGTACATCTGCCCCCATCCAACCTGACAGAGCTTGAGAGGTGAACAGGTGAGGTGAAGAATGGCAGATAATTGCAAAATGCTGATGAGCAAAGCTTGTCGCATCAAACAAAAAAAAGACTCGAGGCTGTTAAGGTGCTTCAGCTAAATATTTAGTTAAGGGTATGAATACTTATGCAATGTACTTATTTCAGTTTTTTATTTTGAATACATTTACGAAGTTGTGACAATTCTGTTTTTGCTTTGTCAGTATGGTGTATGGAGTGTAGATTTATGTGGAAAAAAATTATTTAAAGAAGTTTATCATAAGGCAGCAACATAACAAAATGTAAAAATAATGGAGTATGAATACTTTCGCAAGGCACTGTATCTATCTATCTATCGTTCTTTCGTTCCATCTATCTGTCCATCCATCCATCCATCGATCCATCGTTTTATCATCTTATCTGTCTGTCTGTCTATCAATCTATGTTTTATCTATCCATCTGTTTTAACCATCCATCATCCATCCATCCATCAATCCATTTTCTTTGTTTCTTAATTTTTGCCTTCTGTCCAGGTACGCCTCTATTCCCTTCTACCGGGTTCCTTTCACGGTGCCCTGGCAGTGTAATCTGGGAGCGGCTCTGCTCATGGCCCCGCAGCTCTACTGGTTCTCCCTGATCTGCAGGGGGGCCCTGCGCCTGTTCACCGGCAGCTCCTCGCGTTCCCGCAAACCCACGGCTCCGGTCAAGTCAGATTTTGAAGGACACGAGTCGCTGCCTCAGCCTGCCAACGGATACAGTACACGGATGGTGGGTCGGGACACGCCCACAATGTCACACTGAGGGGGAGGAGACTATGCTAATGAGACTAAGCAAAGTAAAAAGGGGATTGGATGAATGCAATGATGAAGTGGCAGAGCAGAAGGGCAGGTTGCCAAGGAAGTACACAGAGTGATTAAAGAGGTACTGAAATAGACTAGACGCCCTGTAACGCATTACAGCACAGCATTATGTTTAGTTACAGGGCTCGTGTACTGTGTATATAAGACATGCTTTAGTAGATCAAGGGAAGCAAAAATGCCGGAAAAATCAGTGGAAGTGTCCACACAACGGCCAGATGTGTGTCACATCACAACTGAGGCAATAAGTGCATATTTTATGTGAGAAAATTTCTGAACCAAGACAAGCACTTTTTGTTTGAGGCACTTTGAAAGGTCGCAGAATGTCAGACTGGGGCTGAGGTCTCGTGCCTGAGGTCTGTTCTTTGCATATATTACTGTAGTGTTGCAGATGCATTGTTCATAGAAATGTCCTCGATTATTATATTTAGCACTGGTCTACAAAGAGCAACCCAAGGTGTCAGGCATTATCAAGCTTGACTGTCTGTATAGAGTTCAGCTGAAATGCCTCTCGTTGGATTTAAAGGGACAGTTCACCCAAAATGAAAATGTACCCACTCTCATGTCGTTTAGATGCTGTATTATTTTATTTGTGTGAAACAGATTTGAGATGTTAGGCAGAATGTCTGAGCTGCTCTTTTCCATTCTCTGAAAGTAGATGGCGATTTATTTTGTACCAACATGTAAAAAAACTCCATAAAAGGACTATCTTCACTACTGTTTAAAAGTTTGCGGTTAGTGAGATTTTATTTTTTTTTCTTCAAGAAATAAATACTTGGGGAAAAAAGGAAGTAAGGATGCATTAAATTCATCAACATTCACAGTAAAGAGATTTATTATGTTACAAAAGTTTTCTATTTCAAAATAAATGCTGGTCATTTAACTTTCTGGAAAAAAATCCTTAATATTACGCGTAATATGTTTTATATTAAATAATATTAAATATTAAGCAGCAAAAAAAAAATGTCAACACTGATAATAATAAATGTTTCTTGAACGGCAAATCAACGGCAAATCAGCATATTATACTGATTTCTGAAGATCATGTGACACTGAAGACTGGAGGAATGATGCTGAAAATACAGCTGCACATCTCAGAAATACATTACAGTTTAACATATTTTAAAACGAAACCAGTTATTATAAATTGTAATAATATTTCACAAAATTACATATTTTTTTCTTCTGTATTTTGATCAAATAAATGCAGTCTTGGTGAGCATTTGAGACGTAAAAAGAAATCGTAATCACTCCAAACTGTTGACTGGTAGTGGAAGTATATTCAAATTAAGGCCAATAGTATAATTCTATACTGTTTTGTCTAAATAAATAAAAAATTAAACCCTAAAAATGAATAATAATTTTGAGATTTGCTAAAAATATATTTAACAGAGTTAAATTTGACTCCAAAATTAGATTTACAAGTCAGTTCCGTACACCGGTGTAAAACCAGTGATATTTTAGTATCACTGAGATACTATTATTGTTTTATTACTAATTTGAATTAGTTTTTATGTTTTGTTTTCCATTTGAATTTTAGTTAAATATTTAGTCATTTTGTTTTGTGTTTTTGTCTTATTTCTATAGCTGTTATACATTTTTATTTCATTTTTATTTTAGTACATCGAGTTAAACTAAAATATAAGAGCTATTGCCTTGGCAACTAATTGAAATAAAAGTTTTTTTTTTTTTTATTATTTGTTTTTAATATTTATTTTAATGTCTTTTTTTTTCCAAGTAACAAAAATGCTTTTTTTTTTAGTGGTTTTAGTTTGAATTAAATCAGTTAAACTATAATAACCCTGCAGAAGACTGTAATATAGCGCATAAATCACTATCCGTTTGGATGGAAAACAGAAGCTCGACATTTTACCAAATGTCTACTTTTGTGTTTCACAAAAAAAAAAGAAAAAAAAAAAGAGACAAATAAGACATTGGTATAACAACAAATGATTCATTTTTGCTGAACTATTCCTCTACCACAGCTGATCCATGAAGGGTCGCTGGATCAAAAGTAATTAAACCCTGTCTGTCAGAAAAAAAGAGGCAGCTCGGGGTTTGGGAATGTATTATTTTGTACATGCTCAGAAAGCAAGCGTCACACCCAATAGAAAGTAGCTACCTTCAATGTTCTCCAATTCGACCTGCGATCCCCTGTAAGGTGGCTTAAACGCAGTTTTACCACGAAAATCGTTCGACATTTGTAGTTCGCTTTACAATATCCCTACTATAACCTCTTTAAACAGAGTCACGAGTCCTAAAAGCCTGCATATGTTATAAAGGGACATGATCCAATATATATTAAGCTGCCTTATCCCTGTGGTTTACTCTTTAGCTTTGGCTAGAGGTGAGTTTCCTCCATTTAAACAAATGTGATACTTTACATAGTCAATGTGACATTTTTTGGCACTTTATTCATTTCGTTGTCACTGAAGACATTTTGTTGGTCTCACGGTTCCTGTTATTTATTGTGGTTTAAGGTTTTATTTATGGTTTTGAATTCTTTTCAGCCTGTCAGTCTCGGGGTTTTGTTGTTTATGGGTCACTCAAACGATCTAATCTCTGTCTAGTCATAAATCAAGGTTTCATTTGCAGATGAATTCGGCCTAGTATGTTTTATTTAATAACACCGCTTGCAAGTTCAACCGTACCACTTATCAAACAGGAATGAATAACATTGCGAAGTAAGTTTTTGAAGCTTAACCAAATGACTGTATGCTGATTTCAAATTTATACAATGAAAAAACAGGTGCAAAATGTCAATTGCACTGAATTGGGTATATGACTTTGCATGTGTATACTCCGTCTTTGTCCCTTGTGAACCCTCTATAATGTGCTCCAATATCGAGCGTAAATCCAAACTATTTAACCCTAGTGAACGGCAACGACTTCTTTTGGAAAGCATTTATGTTTTAGTTGATTCGACTTTTTTTTTTTTTTCATCATATGTAAACCTGTTGTAATTCAGTCTCACTGCAGAAATATATACTCTTGTCTCATATGCTGCATGTTATAATGTCGCTTCGCCTGGTCCGTTTGTGAACGTGCCGTACGGGGTTTAATCGAGACCTCGATAATGTCGAGCATGAGTCTCAATGTCTGCCATCATGACCTCTGCGGAGACATCTGGAATTAAAACGAGCTTAAAAAACGGATCAGGATTTTCACATCAAATGTCCTCTTGATTCCTCTTATTAATTTGAGAGCCTGTACCAGACGGGTGATGCTTTGAATCCAGACAACGCAATTGAGGCTAACAGGCCACGAAAGGATTCACGCTAATACAGCGGCTTACGTTCCACCTTTTCTCCCTTCGCAGAATCGTTTATGCGCTGAATAGAAAGTATGGCAGATTGCCGATTTCAACACCGGATGTGATTGTTTCTAATTAGTTGATAAGGATTGTTGAAACTCGTTCAAATTTAGAGCAATTTGCTAATGAATCAATCATTTGCTTACAAATCAGACATCACTATGGCTTGCGAACCGGTTTATATGGAAGCTTGTTTCCACCATGGAATAAAAATATAAAACCGGTCATTTCAACTTCTCACAATTCACTTTTTTCTCACAATTGCAAAGTTTCTCTCTCACAATTACAAGTTATACATTTAGAATTGCACGTTTACACCTCTCAATTCTGCAGAGAGCTTTTTCCCCTCTATGAATCCTAAGTTTACATCTCACAATTCTCAAAAATTATTCTTTTCTCAGAATTTAATCTCAAAATTCAGACTTTTTCCCCTCTGTGAATCCTAAGTTTACATCTCACAATTCTGAGAAAATTCTTTTTTTCTCAGAATTTATATCTCGCAATTCTGACTTTTTTAATTGTAGAAATTGGGGTTTACATCTCATAATTTTTTTACATTTTCCTCAGAATTCAGTTTTCATTTTGCAATTCTGTTCCCCCCCTTCCTGTATGTTCTTAGTTTGCATCTCAGAATTCTGGCTTTTTTTCTTGAAATTCTAAGTGTATATCTTGCAGTTTTGAGAATATTTTGGAAAAAAAATCGCAATTGCGAGATATAAACTCGCATTTTATGAGAAAAAAGTCAGAATCGTGAGATATGAATTCACAACTGTGAGAAAAAACATTTTTTTTTTTCTGAGAATAGTGAGGTAAAATGTTTCAATTACTTTTTACATATTTTTATTCCATGGCAGAAATCAGCTCGCAGAGGTTTAGCCCAAACAGAAAATAATTTTCTACTATTTAAAAAAAAAAAAAAAACAGCAGGACACCAGCAGCTAGGCATTCATTTATTTATTCACATAAAAAAAAATCTGAATAAAAAAGACAACATCAGTAAAATAATAGCATCTCATTTGTCCAATGCAAAACGATGAATTATGACGATTTAGGGTATAAACCCTAAAAAACCTGGCTTTCACTCAAGCAGTCTGTTGTTTCCCTCAGTATCTCCTCTGTCTGGGACTGAAGACAGTGCTGGGGTCGCTGTCTCGCTCTCGTTCTTTTTCCCGCTCTCGCTGACTGTTGGGCGACAAGGGCTTTTCCACGACAGGCCCCGACCGCGCTTTATCGCTTTTAAAAAGATCACGACCTGTCCTTAGAATCTGCTCCTCGATTTTTCTGTGACGCTTCATGTCCGACAGCACTTTGTCCAGCCGGGCCTCGCGCTTGACCGTCGAGCGGGCAGAGGAACCTGGGAAAGAGAGAAAAGGATGAACACAAGTCCGCATTATTCATTTATATTGTGTGTCTGCCAAGATGACCAAATCCACAGACGTGGACAAATGCTTGATCATACCTGGTGTTCTGCGGCGACTGAGAAAAGAGTTTTTAGGAGTTGCCATAGTCTGTTCCTCGTCGAAATCAAATTCAGTTGGCGTGAGGTCCCTGCAGGACATATAAATAAATCAATATTTACATTCTTTGTAATTTAAAAATGTATATTATATTTGCACACATTGAGTAAATACTGGTGTCTCATTTGTACACAATACCGGTCAGAGGTTTGGAATAATTAAGATTTTGAGTCTCTTATGCTCATCAAGGCTGCATTTATTTGATCAAAAATACAGTAAAAACAGTAAAAATGTGAAATATTATTACCATTTAAAATAACTATTTTCTATTATAATATATTTTAAGGTGTAATTTAATTATTTGATGCAACGCTGTATTTTCAGCATCATTACTCCAGTCTTCAGTGTCACATGATCCTTCAAAAAATCATTTTAAGATGCAAATTTGCTTCAATTATTTTATTTGCCTGCTATGATAATGTTATTATTGCTCCTCAATGATTAATAATGGTTCTTATTATCAGTATGTAAACAGTTATGGAGAGTCCCCACTTTTCACAAATGTAAACCTGTGTGTGTGTATTTTTTCTGACTCACTTGTGCTGGTTCTCCTCTTGCTTGGCCTCCTGCGAGTCCTCTCCATCTCTCTCAGGTGAGGGGGTGCGTGGAGGGGTCGGAGGCCGGCGTGGAAGCGGCTCCCACTTCAGCTCCAGCATGTCTCCTTTAGCCAGAATCTCATACAGCCGCTTGATCTCCTCGGGTGCAGGCATCCAGTTCGTAGGGTCCTCCATCTCCTCATCGCTGTATGGGATCTCCCAGTCCTCCTCAGTCTGCTGCAGCTTTCCTTCACCGCCTCCATTCATCTCTCCAGCCGTGGCTATTCCCTCTTTCTGCTCCGCTGCATCCATGGATCCTTTGTCTCCTTCTACATCTTTCATAGGAGTGTGAATGAAAAAATCATAATATGTAATAGAACAAATGTATACACCTTGCACATACTGTGGTGATACCATGGTATATATAGCATCATATTCCAAGTTCATTAAGAAAGAATGCAAAAGCCACAGACACATGTGGTGTGCATACTTGCGTCATCCTCTGTTATAGTATCTTTCGGGGCTGTATTCGTCTCCTCTCTTTTCTCTTCCTCCTTTTCTTCCTCTTTTCCCGCAGTTTTCTTCTGTTCACTCACTCCCATAGACTCCACTCGCTCCGCTAGTGAGCACTGCGCGTCCTCTGCCGCCTGCATCTTGCTGCAAACCTGCGTGAAACAGACGTGCTTCAGCTGCGTACTAACGATTTCATATTCAGATATGAACACATTTCATATGCGCCGATATATGAGTTGCTGACTAGTCGCGCGCCTTCGCTGAGAACCATTCAGAAACATTCGATATGATTATTTAACAATGAACAGAAATGAAGGGGCGGGTGCACTTACAATTGTTTCCCCACTACTGTTATAAACAGCTGCGCGGGGTAATAAAACGCATCAGTGTGCTATTATTTCTGAAAATAATACTGCATCGGTTATTATGGTCTGTTATCACTGTTGTTTATTTCGGCGCCTTGACGTTATTCGCCTGATGTCCCGGATGAGAGGATCCGCCCACAGCGCCACCACGCGCTCGAAGGACCGACAGAGAACCCCGCGTGGAAGAAGTTGCTATGGTGTTCTGGGTGGTTGCTAGTGTATTATAAGTAGTTACCAGGGTGTAAAGGAGGGTAAAATCTTCAGTTAGAGAAATGGATTGTGAATTAAGCTAAATGCTTGATTGAATATTGATATATGATCCCTTTGTCAAGGGAAATAAATTATAATTTATTTAAATAAATAAATAATATTATTTATTAATATAATTTTAATAAGACACTTACAGTGAGCCATATGTCGTGTGCATATTTTTTTTAAACTGTTATTTTCATTTTGGAGAGTTTTTAATGAATCATTCTTTTGAATCGAATCTTCTCAAAGAACCGGTTAACAAATCGCGATTTGTGAATTCGATTGATCCTTTTTATTTTATTTTTAAGATGCTGTTAATTTAAGAGTTTTTTCCTATATATATATATTTTTTTGAATCGCATATGAAACGTAATTATTTTAGCTATTTGTAAAAAAAATTATGGTATTTTGTATTGTACATTTTGTACATTGTATTGTTTGTGTCTGCTTATATTATTTGTCGCTTTGAAAAAAAGAGTCGCGAAGAGACTTTTAATTTGACGGGCGTTTCCAACAATTCCAGCAGAGCGGAAGTAGAGTCCCGCGGAGCCGCACATCAACAGGACGAGTACAAATCTGCGATGAGTTTTGAGTGGCCCTGGCAGTATAACTTTCCTCCATTTTTTACGTGAGTAAATCCATTTTATTATCAATGTCAGGGACCTCAGATGGAAAACCCCGGTTTCGTGTCCGCGATATAATACTTTGGTCTAGTGTTAAATACACATTTGTATCGCGAGTAAAGCTACTGTTTGCGTTCCGCTGCGGAAGTAATACAAAGCACAGTGTTCAGTCATGCGAGGATGCAATTAATTATAATTAAGTATTACAATACTTACAGTTACAGTATGTCATATAGTGTTTACGTGTTGTTAGGCCTGTCGCAATAATCAATATATCGACTTATCGCGCAATATATGTATATGACCGCAATAATTTTTGGTGACGCCCATTTATTTACATAAAAAATTAATGTCACCATGTTTTGTGCATTCCACTTGCTCCTGTGTCTTTTGCAGCTTCTCGGACATAACGTGGTGTAGTCATGAGGTGCTAGTAAAAAATAAAAAATGCATCTACAAAAAAAAGTTTCATTTGCAGATATGGCCTTGTTTAGGGAACTGTGTCTTTGTGCATCTGGACATCTGAGTGCTGAGTAGTGCTTGTGTTTTTCAGCAATAGTGTGCATCCTTCATTCACAGAGAGAAGAAGGTCAGGGGAACATCTCCATGCAAGCTCTTTGTGCATTAAATTTTTTTTATGCTTGTTATTTGGCACTTTTTGTTAGAAAATGTTTATTTACTATTTATTCCGCTTTTTTAAGGCATCTAATATTTTGAGACTTAATTTCCGTGATTTAAAATATTCTTGAAAATTAAAAGTTTGTTGTCATTTGGAAGTGTGTAGGCCTTCTTGCATTATTATGCTGTTACGTTATGATTATATATTGTCTTTAAAATGACAATAATATCGCTTATCGCAATTATTTCTGGGGCAATATATCGCACAGCAAAAAGTGGTTATCGTGACGTGCCTAAATGTTTGTGTGACTTTAAATACTAACACAAGTGAAGCGAAGCTAGTACGATCAGAATAGTAAAGCTTCTGTGGATTGCAACAAGAATAATTTGTCATTAAGTAAAAATGACCGAAAGTGAAAACTGACTGCTGGAAATATTAGGACATTGAGAAAATAGCGATTTCCAGGCATGGATAATTTATTGTAAATTTTACACTGTTGAAAACCCCTGAAGTATCTCTATAACACATGCATATGCTTTAATAATTTATCACAATGTAATAGTTACATTATTATGTAGAAGATGATTTTGGTTGATTTTCTTTGCATCAGTGGAAATGACAATCTTGCACATTGGGGCCAAAATGTTATTGAGAGGAGATGTAATGTTTTTATTCTGTTTTGCAGATTACAGCCAAATGTTGACACGAGACAGAAGCAGCTGGCGGCGTGGTGTTCGCTGGTTCTGTCCTTCTGCCGTCACCGGAAACTCTACACTCTGGACGTCCTCGAGGCGCAGGAAAGCCCAGTCTTCAACAACAAGAAAATTGAGAGTATCCTTTCATGGTCTTTGTCTTGTTTTAATTTGATGATAGGATGCACTGAGGTTGAATCACATTGAAGGCTGTTCCTTTTCTGTCATTACTTGCCGTGCATGTATTTCCTGTAACTTTTGCTGCTCAGGAAAACTTTCAGTTGAAGCCATACAAGTAGTTTTTGAAGAACTGAGAAAAAAAGGTGGGATGCCAAATGCATTGATAAGAAGAGACTGGAAAATTGATGTTAAAATTATTTTGATCTTTGCTTTGGCATAGGAAACCTGGAATGGTTGGACAAAAGTAAATCACGATGTCTTATAATGTGGAGGAGACCAGAGGAGTGGGGCAAACTCATTTATCAATGGGTGAGACTATACTGTGTCCTATAAATGTATTTATTTAAAGTTTTTATTTATTTAAAATATGTTTGATGAAAATACTGTAAAAACAGTAATATTTTATTACATTTAATACATTTCAAATAATTGTAATGCATGTTAAAGGGGTCATATGATCATTATTTTGTGTATTTGGTGTAACAGAATATGTTGACATGCTTTAATGTTCAAAAAACACATTATTTTTCAAATACTGTACATTATTGTAGGTCCTCTATGCCCCGCCTCTCTCAAACGCTTCGTTTTCTACAAAGTCCCTCCTTCCGACAAGCGCAGTCTGCTCTGATTGGCCAGCTGACCCAGTGCATTGTGATTGGCCGAACACCACAAGCACTCGTCGGAAATGTAACGCCCCTTACCATAATCACTAGCATCAGCTTTCAAAATAAATGTAAAGACAGTAAATAATGTCATTAGTTTTACCATCAGTTCAAGCCCGAAAGGGGAACAGAGTCTCGTGACAGACACAGTGATGAATATGTGTTTGCAGTA